TCGCGCTGTGCGGCATCCCGCAGCGCTGCGGGGGCGGGTCGGGGGGCGCCGACCCCGGGCTCCTGGGGAGAGGCTGAGAGCTCCGCTTCTCCCTCCTGCGGAAAGAGACTCGCCCCGGGGGCAGTGCGGCTGCTGCCGGCCCAGGCCTCCGTCTGGAGACCTTCCTGCGGAGCAGGGCGGCTGGGGCCTAGAACGTGTACCTGTGCATTAGCAAGTTGTGCTGTTGGTATATGACTTCTTTGCAGATGGAGTGTATGGAATTGGTTTTGAAACATCAGACCGTAACCATGAATGCCCATAATTTAGTCGTGAAAGGTGTAGTCTAACGGGACAACAGGCCTGTTTAAATGCTGTATTATTCAGCTGCTCTTGCAGATACCGCGAGGATGGATAAAACCATATGAAGTGAAAAGAGAGGGTAAGCAAGGCTCTTGCTGAATGCGCCTCACTGCTAAGGAAGCATTATATTCTTCCTCCAGATACCTTCTTAGCAAAGGGCTCTGCTACTCTGGACAAATTGAAGGACCTCTGTAACGAAGGGAAAGAACATCCTTCGGCGCTTTTGCAGCTCTATACACAGGTAGTGTATTTAAAGCATTAAGAACTCCCTTTCAAGAAAGTCTACTGTGTAGGGTATGGGAGAGGGTTGGGTGTAGGAAAGAGGGTATAGCAGAAAGGGATCTCTCTTACTTGGTGTGTGCGGTGAACATCCATGAAGTCCGGGGCTGCTTTTGTCTGGATTAGAAGATAACTTAGAGTCGATAATAATTGTGCTGGTACTGTAAGGACAGGAAGGGTTTTGTTAACTTGCAGTTTTGTAACTAAATGTTAAAAATTTACCTTAAAATTGTAATGTTTTATAAACTGTAACAAGTTTGTATGCTAGTGCACACCACCGTTTGCTGGTAGCATTTTTACATTGTGTATCTTCTTGTTTTCACAGGCTGTCTTAGACATTACATATTTTGAGGAAAACCAGCTTGTGGATGAAGATTTTCCAGAAGAATCTTCCTTGCAAAAAGTTAAAGAACTTACTTGTATTCTTTCAGAACCAGAAGACCTAGTGAGGGAATGCAATGTAAATGAAGAAGTGAGTACTAATGTTATTCAGCCAGAGAATTAATTATTTCGTTATTTAAAAATAAAAAATCTGAAACAGGGTATTGGTATTTGTATTTTTGATGGGCAGAATTTAAGATCTTCTGAAAAATTTTTAAGTCTTAATTGTATTTAAATAGTGATTCCTGAAAATATTTTTTTCAAGTAACTTGTTGCACGCTCAGAATTTTTCTTGCTGACATTTTGTGATTTCATGTGCTTTTGGCAGTTTAAATCCAACGTACTAGGCTTGTGTCTGTGACTGTTGCTGTTAAGTACAGCCTCTGAAGTTAGAGACTTAATATAAGACTGTTTGCATGTGTGAGTGTGTATATGGGTAGTTCAGATGGTTTACTTTTGGGTTAGTCCAGTTTGTTGGATTTTATTTCAGCCCATCAACATCCTTGGTGCAGAGTTGTTAGAATGTCTTTACTGGAGAAAAGGAGCCCTGCTTTACATGTATTGTCATACAGCAAAAGAAAGGACTGAATGGCTACAAGAAAACATTGCCATATTTAAAAAGGTACAGGAGATTAAAAAGTTCTATGAGCATGTGAATACTCTTCACTTTTAAAATATAGCTTTCCCCCCCCCTTTAAATAAGGTTTTGGGAAATTCATAGTGAGAAGTGTTTCTGGCTATCGTTAAATTAATCAGAACTTATCTAAAAGGTTTTTTTTCCCCTCATTTTTTAACTGTACTCAGTGTCTTAATGATGGAGTTCATTACTTGATGAAGATGCTTAGCTTTAGATGCCCTCTTCAGCTAAATGAAGATGTCTCACTTCAAGATAAAGACACAGCTAGATTACTCAGTGAAGGTAAAAAAAACCCCAAAAAACTCCAAAAAACCCACAACCCGCTCCTCTTAATAACTGCTCCACTTTATGAAATGCTTTATTGCGTATTTTTGTTGTTTGACTTCATTTGTATTCAAGAACTCACTTTTTAGAACAAAAAAAACCCCAGATGAGACACATAACCAGGCAGAAGTGCTCTCCCCTCTCCCCCCTTCTTCTTGACTCATGGATTTTAGGAGGTGGCAGTGCTCATTTTCTGTTTTTGAGTGCACTGGAGGAAAGTGAACTGAGGCAATGGGTGTTTTATGCACAGCATGTGTGTTTTACACATCCAGTTGTCAACTGACGAATGTTGGAAGCACAAATACGACTGCAGAGGGTGCTGGATGTTCCCATGTTGGTCCTCCTGTTTAGGAGAACACAGATATGAACACAGAATTACTGACTTCAGGTAGAAAGTACATGCCAAATTGGTTAGATTTGGCAAACTTTTATTCTCTCTGTCTCCACTTTATGTATCTTTATGTAAGTGGCATTACTATAGTACATTTACATGAGGATCTGGGGCTGCATCAGTGTGATGCAGCCGGGTGATGCAGCAGGAGGTGATTTGTAAGGTAAAACAGCTGGTGCTGAGGACATGATGTCCACGTTGTACACACTCAAAACTAGCTCTACTGCTCTACTCTGGCTATGGGGGATGGAGCGCCTTCTTACTTAATTTCATCTGAAAGTGGCATTGCTCCAATTCAGCTCCACAATGCAAAGCCAAGTTCAGTAACTGATTTGTAGGTTTATTTAGCAGGTTGGTTGTTTTTTTTTCAGTGACCATGGGCATGTATGTGGCTTTCTATTCAAATACTAAAGCTGCTGCTGGTTAACCTGAGTTAAGATGATGCTCAAACAGCATCTTCTTTTAGGCTTAAATTGTGGGAGGCACAGAAGTATTCTAAAATAAGTACGCATAATCATGCCTGCGCTTAACGGATTGTAAAGCAATACTGAAATTCTCATAAATAGGCAAACACAATTATCAGAATAGTATTTATATGGCAATCTTAGATTTTAGCATTATGGAGGGGCAAAATGGATAGAGTAATGAGCAAGGCCTTAATCCATGTTCTTTTCTGGGCAGTGTCAGCCATCTCACGGTTAAAACTCGGAGTTTTGGTGTACCTCTTCAAGGCTTATACTGCCATTTTGGAATTTTTTTCTAAAAAAAAAAAATCGAAGTTAACAAGCTGTGTACTTGCTTAGAACAATGAAGTACTTGATCTGAATTATTTTTGCAGGTGTATTTAGTGACACTCACTTACTGGCGATGATGTACAGTGGAGAAATGTGCTACTGGGGACTGCGACACTGTGGAGAAGGGAAGCAGGAAAGCCTCGAGACGACAGATTCCGCCTCTAAACGTGACCTGGGCCGCAGATCACAGAGCGTGTTGCTGGATTTCCGAGAAGTGGGCAAAACCATGTTAACGAAGTATGTGGCTGTATGCGAGGGACCTTTAAAAGGCCAAGGGTGGAACACAACGACTGCAAAACAAATGCTGCGTTACTTCGTGACATCCCACAACTGAAATACGCCGCTTTGGCTGTGCTGGAAGAAACCTTGTCCCCATCAAGCATGCTTAGGGAGGTGGTCTCTGCTTCAGTGTCTGACCGTTCTTCTTACCAAAATGTATGCTTTTGTTGCATTAAAAACGTGCATTGAAAGAACTCCTGGAATACAGGTCCGAAGCCTAATCAAGTATTTCTAGTAAAAAAAAAGAAATGACGACTGCGTAATGA